AATCCTTACGAATGAAAGTTGCGTATCATCAAGACAATTTTATGAAGATAAACTTTGCTCTTTATAGCATGTTATTTAGACGCATAGTTTAAGAGATAATGAAAAATTAAAATAATTCATCACTCGGGTAGGCGCGCGAGCAACGCCTCGAGGAGAACCGAGAGATACTATATTTGTCGCTTTTTCGTTTCATTGAGATTCAAATTACAACGATGCTAAAGAAGTTTTCACATCAAAAAAAAATTTAAAAATCAAAAAATACAGCACTGAAGCATTGTTTTGTGTATCAGCAATTTTTTAATAGAGTTAGGATGCCAAACGAGTACACAGTCCACCTGATGGTAAGTGGATACATTGACCCATAGACATCTACATTAATGCTTGATTAAGAATCAAAATGCAGATGTTCAACCTGACAAACCAGTGTAGTGTAGTATAGCCCCCACGACTATATATATATTAGTGTTAAGGTAGAATAAAGACAGTATAATTAAAGTTATAGAAGCAGCAACACGCCTCAATTTACCTTGACATAGTTCCTATATTACATGGCGACCCTGCCAGGCGGTGCGCTGCTACATTGCATGCGCACCGCCGGGCCTACATAAAGAGAAAAAAAAAATATTACAAAAAAAATGGAAATCATCATGGATTGACCATTTAAAAAAGAAAATTATAATATAACAGAATGGACGCAATACCGGATGTGACGAAAAATAAATGAATATGAATAAAAGAAGAGGCCACAATAATAATTTTACAGAAGCTGAATGAAATATAAAAAGTATAATGAACATGAAGTAATATAATTTAAATGTATAATAGTACCTACTATGAAAGCAACTAAGAAAGAATGAGGAAAATAAAAAGTGATTTTTTTAATATAATTACAAAAAAATTAAAAATTAAAGAAACAGTTATTCTTTTGCAAGCTTCGTCCAGAAGAATGTGAAAATTGAGCCGAAAAGAACAAAGAAGAAATACTTAAGAGGTAACTTCGCACCTTTGTGATTTTAATTTTATTTAAAACTTTATTTATCAATTTGAGATTGTTTTTATATTCTTTTTGCTATAATATTTGTTGAAGTTAAGTATTAAATATTCTATATTTAATACACGTATGTTTAAATTGAACTTATTTATCAGATAACTCACGGTACAATTGATTTTTCAATATATTTATCACCATTTATATATATAAAAAATGTATCATAATACAATGTCAAAAAAGCACATTACATTTTAGGCACGTATGGCATTTGTATTAAGGCACAAGGCAATTTTATATTATATTTTATTTAGTTATTGTTTATTGTTTCATATTATTTTTATAACTGTGCAGGATACAATACAAAAACGAATGAAATAATATAGTAGTAGATTACATTTTTAAATGTACCATGGTTTATCATAAATTAATTTTTCGTTTAGTTAAAATAACACCGATGATATTTTTTCGTTGTGATTTTTTTTTCCATAGTAAATTTTATTTAAATGTTTTCATTCAATTTGAACCGGGTTAAAAACAATTCAGTATTAATAAGTGTTAGGTTTTGTTTTCTTTTATAAAGGCAGTGAACTTTAAAGTTATACTTATATAAATAAACCTACTTAAAAATTAAAATTGGTCTTTTGAATGCTTAAATAAATTAATGTTTTGTTGTGTAAAGTTGATAGGTGTTATAGTGATTATTCAATTATTTTCTGTAAACGATATAGTAAATACCATACTTCTAGCAATCTTTTTCAATCCAAGCAAAAGTAATGTGTCTAAAATTCTGTGTAAATAAGGAATTTAAAACTATCATTTTACTTGTATCCACATATTATGTATGTAATAATAACATTGTATAAGTTACGTTTAAAGTAGGTGATCATAATACGATGTAATCGCAAACGTTGCCATATACGTACTTTGTTAATTAAAACAAAGGTGTCTCAAATCGCTTGCGCTGCTAAGAGTGGGATTACAATTTGTATTTTGATCTGTCTGTCGTTATGCGATTATGTTATTGTTATTGAAAACTATTACGTTGCTTTGACTTCTTTGTTCTATATCTTAATATGAAATGCAATAATTTATTTTTGATTTAATATTGATTAAACTTTCACATCATAAGGTTTTAACTATTATAATTCATTATTTTTGGGATAAAAGATTGAATATCTAACCTATTTGTGTGGATTATGAAAATAATTACTTCGTTTAATTCAATTTTGAAACTCATTATATTATGTATACAATTAATTAATTTAAATTTTGTTGTGCCCATATTGTAAGCCTCAATCCCTGACTGACAATGATGTAGCTATACATTACATTATACAAGATTATATGATATAAATTTGTAAAAGACGTAAGTAAATGTATGAATAAGTTACGGAATTTATCATTAAGAATGAAAAATATTGATAGAAAGTAGAAAGTGTGGCATAGGTAAAGAATAATTATCGGAGGTTAGCATTTCCACATACAATCGACCTGAGGCCTTCAGCTGAGTTTGGAAAACCTAATAACCGATTAATTTTTAAGGTGGTTCTGACACTATTAAATACGGAATAAGTTTTAATGTATTGTTAATGAGGTAAATGAGAATTTATTATGAATTGTATAAGAATATTATCCATAATATTAATCATGTATGTACGCAAGCGTGTACGTGAAAATTATGGTTCAATTAAATAATGGTTAATAAATACTATAAATGTAAAGGAATAAATAGAAAGAAAACAAAAGTTGACCTGCATAAATAAGTAGGTAATGGAGAGATAAGGGAACGTCCATCACTGGTAAAGCATATAGTCCTCGAGCAGGGTATGTTTCCATGATTGGATGATAAGATCGGAAGTAACGGGTACTAGGGAACAATACCTACAGTACAAGTGAGATGTGAACGAGTTTACTCATATTAGTACTGTTGGGACCAGAGAAGTCGTAAATATTGTTACCCTTAATAATGGTACATAGAGGTCTCATCCTTCATTGGATCATAGTGTAAACTTAGTTTCCTCAGTGACAATTGTTGGAGTCTTTTTTAAAATGACTTCAACGTAGACCTCAAGGTTATGCGCACAACCCAAGGTACAGTATTGCCTTGATATAGTATGATTAAAAAAAAGTTTATGTACCAATAAAATAAAATGAATGTAATGGAAATGTAATATAATACCCAAATATATTTATAAAGTACCCGCGTGATAAATATCACGAAACAAAATATAAATGAAATGAATTAATAATCCTATTCTCGGTATCTAAATAATAAATAAATATATAAGTGAATAGAGAGAAATAAAATTAGCTAAAGGTAAAAAATATCAAGAAAATAAAGTACGTACAAGAATTATGAAAAAAAAAAAGATTATAAAAAGGCCTAACAATCGAAAATAAGGAATGAGATGAAAAGTATGAATAAATATATAAGAGCAGAGAATTTTAAAATATAAATCAATGTACAACTATACTAGAACTTCGCGAATTACCTAATTATGTCAAATAAGTATGTTGTATGTATGCATGATACATCATACCAATTCTATTATGACGTTGAAATTACTATGGGGCAGAGGGATATGGCCACCCGAACTACCCATAGGATATACCTATTTATATTTACTTTTGTAATTTATGTTATTATTAGACTAACGTTATATATTTATTTTTATAAGTTAAAAAAAAAACAAATGTATTCATTTATTTTTTATTTTTTTGTCGGTGGGAGGTGTAGTGTAGTATAGCCCCCACGACTATATATATATTAGTGTTAAGGTAGAATAAAGACAGTATAATTAAAGTTATAGAAGCAGCAACACGCCTCAATTTTATTGACATAGTTCCTATATTACACCAGAGTTTCGGAAATATAACGTCACCCTCCCTTACAACTCTCCGCAGTTGGGTAGATTTCGTACTGTGGTTCTGTGCTCAAATAGCCATCGTAGCCTTACTGTACAAGCACGTTAATTTGATACCGCTGGAAGAACTGCAACGCTGCCCAAATTTCGACAGAATCAAACGCTTTCAAAGAAAGATAAAGCCCCGATAACGCCGTCATGGAGTACGGAATAGAAAATCTTCTGAAGGGCTTTAAGTAATGGTTATCTACAAAATTTAAGATGCTCAGCTGTAAATTTATCCTCGCTCGGGGACTTCTCGTTTTCAATGTGTTCGAGAGCCATTCTAATCTCGCCCAGAATGACGTCCAGGATATCATCGCAATATTGTTGAATGAGATTGCGTGTGATGTGTGTAGAATTTCTTATGAGCTGGCAATGGAAGTTTGGGAACGGTCGAGTGTGCAGACCGATGAAAATCAAACGCGCTATGACATTTTGCGACAATTTATTTTCAGAATAAATGCGAAAATGCTTTACATTTTATGAGATTATTAATGAATTAAAAGATTAGAAAGTTCACCTTTTTTTGAGCTACGAATTAATTGTTAGGGAGGTGACAGATAAATTTCCTTTTTCTATGACAGCCAGTGACAGCTATTTTGTATAAACTTGACACTATGTAACGAATGAATAGAATAAATAGTATTTCTATCACTTCCCCTTATTCATTACATTCTTCAAACAAAAGAAAAAATAAGAAGGACATCACAGTTTCAAACAGAAAATAAAACTACATGCACATACATAACATATCACAGTTTGTAAAAAGTCTCTACATCTTTAACAATTGATTTTTAATTATAGAGCAATTTCCTAGAACATAGAAGTCATCTACATATAAGGCTATTATGGTTAAACTTTTATCACTCTTATTTATATAGACGCATGGTTCACATTTGCTCTGTTTAAAACCATTATTAGATAACAGCTGATGCACTTTTCGATTCCACATGCGACTAGCTTGCTTAAGGCCATATATACTTTTTAATAACTAACATACTTTATTATCATCTGAATTAAAACCTTCCGGTAGTTCCATGAAGATATTACTCGCTTAGATCACTATTTAGAAACGCGGTCTCTACATCAAAATGACTGATATCTCAATCATATTCATTAACTAAAGCGAACAAAGTTCTAAATGTACTGTATCTAACGACTGGTGAAAAAGTATCACTGTAGTCGACGCCTTGCTTCTGCGAAAACCCGCGCGCTACCAAACGAGCACTAAATCTATCCTTACCTTCGTAGTTTTGTCTGACCTTGTAGACCCACTTACATTTTATTACATTTTTATTCTGTGGTCGATCTACGAGTTTCCAGACAACATTTTTGAGGAGAGCATTATACTCCTTCTCCATTGCACGTCGCCATTCTTCTTTGTCTGGCGCCGACATAGCCTCTTTATAAGAGAGAGGCTCTATCTCGTTGTGAACCAGCACAGAGAGATCTCAGGAAAGATCATAATCTCCATACCTGAGTGGAGGCTTTTCACGAGTGCTACGTACAGGGCGCGCAGCATCAGGTACCGACCCAGGATCCTGAAGGCCGGCACTAGACATCGCTTTTTCTCGACGTGACGACGGGTCATGCTCTAACGAGCTGCAGTCCAAGTCTGCAAGATTTGGACTAGTAGCGGTCTCTGCTCCCTCGTCTCCAGTACATTACTCCGAGTCCGCACCTGAAAGTATGGTAGTATTAATATAATTCTGACTAGATTCACTATTATCCTTATCACTTAAGCTAATAGCACAGTTAATTGCATCATTTTTTAAAACATTATTATCATCTATTTCATTATTTTGTAAAATTGTATTATTTAAGTTAGAACTCTGACTAGATACATCAACAAAGTGATTAGCAATGTTTATATTTTTACAATGAACACAAGGATTATCATCCGTGTCCTTCAAAAAGCTCGAGAAATGTCACATACGTAGCATAAAAAAATCGCCTTGCATTTTGTAGATCTCTCAACCTATAGACTTTAGTTGAATCACTGTAGCCAACAAAAATATATTTTTTAGATTTTGGGTCTAATTTAGAACGTTTCTGCTCAGGGATTAATGCGTATGCAATGCAACCAAAAACTCTAAGGTGACTAAGGTCTATATCTGAACCAATCCACACTTGTTCAGGCATCAGTCCAGCAAGGGCAACTGTAGGGCTTCCATTCTTTAAATAAAGGACCGTCATGATCGCTTTTCCCCAATATTCCTGGATAAGACCAGATTCCTGCAGCATGCATCTTGCTTTCTCTAACAAAGTCCTATTTAGCCTCTCAGATACTCCGTTCTGCTGAGGGCAATACGGAACGGTTATTTGATGAATAATCCCTTGAGACTTAAGAAAACATTTGAAACGATCATTACAATATTCACCACCTCCATCAGTTCGTAGACATTTTATGTTGGCCCCGGTATGTTTCTCAAGAAGGTTTTTAAAATCAATAAAACGGGACATTACCTGATTTTTCTCTTGTAGAAGATACACCCAACTCTTCCTACTGTAGTCATCTGTCAAGAACAGAATATACTTCGCACCGCCCCAACTTTTAATCGGCATCGGTCCACGGCACAAAATATGGTAAATTTTTACACCGCCACCACACTAAATATAATATAGGTTCATAACAAAAGCAAACTATCATATACTCGTGATTCGTTTATAGCCTACCAAAAGTTCACTGGCCTTATTATTTATATTTGTCATATTTGATAGAAATACTATTTATTCTATTCATCCCATTAAGAATATAAATTGACTGTATAAGCTAAAAGGCAGTCATAGAAAAAGGAAATTTATCTGTCACCTCCCTAACATTGAATTCGTAGCTCATAAAATGTGAATTTTTTAATAATCTCATAAAATGTAAAGTATTTTCGCATTTATTCTGAAAATAAATTGTCGCAAAATGTCATAGCGCGTTTGATTTTAATCGGTCTGCACACTCGCCCGTTCCCGAACTTCCATTGCCAGTTTATACGCCATACCAATGTTAATAGGTTATGGACCCAGTGAGTATATAATATAGAATACATTATTCAAGAAGAATACAATCGGAAAAAAGGGCAGAGGAAGAGAGTGTGCGGATAATCACGCTATTGACAAAATGCGACAGTGAGATTGCCGACGTCATCGTCATCTGGTTCTGAGCAGCCGGCCCCTCAACCGGGCAACGGCGCCGTGTCTCTATATCAATTAAGAGATTACGTGGTTCGTCAATGGTTAAATAATAAAAAAATATCATCATCATCATCATTACAGCCCTTCACAAGTTCACTAGTACACTTGTACACTTAGCCGTGTAGTGGCGGTCAAGAATATCCACTACCCCATATCTTCCCGTGGGTGTCGTAAAAGGCGACAAAGGGAAACAGGCAGGAGATGGGCAGCAGCATCTTCCTGATAGTAGCCGAAATTACAATAAAAAAAACTGCGGTTGCCAACTCGCTCGCCAAGCGTGGCAACTATGGCAAATACCCCCCTATGAAGAGTGTAACAAAGAGACGGCCCCCAGTCCCTGGCGGCCCCGCTATTCCTGGCTACGGTGGCGTCCATGGTAACGGGGCAGGGGGTGCTAAGAATCTCCGTTGGAGGTTCGGTTGCCACCTTAGACGACTCGACCTGGCAACATACAACGCACACACCCTGAGGATTGACGAGAAGATCGTGGAGCTGGAAGAAGAGATAGACAAGTTACGCTGGCATATTATAGGATTATCCGAAGTCCGAAGAGAGAGGGAGGACACGGTAATCCTCGAATTCGGCAACTTGCTCTATCACCGGGAGGGCGACCATCTGTCCCAAGGAGGTGTCGGATTTATTGTCCACAAGTCTCTCGTTAACAACGTTGTAAAGATAGAGAGTGTGTCGACGAGGGTTGCGTACCTTATACTCAGAATCACCAAATGGTATTCGCTGAAGGTCATTCAGGTTTATGCACCAACCTCGGCACACCCCGATGAGGAGGTGGAGGAAATGTATGAGGATATCTCTAGAGCCATGCATTCCTCCAGAACCCAATATACGGTGTTAATGGAAGACTTCAATGCAAAACTAGGCATAAGAGAGAACGGTGAGCTGAAAGTAGGTAAATTTGGAATAGGGCAACGGAACCCACGGGGCCAGCAGTTGGCCGACTTCATGGAGAAAGAGGGACTCTTTATGATGAACTCTTTCTTCCAGAAGTGGCCCCACAGGAAGTGGACCTGGTCGAGCCCCGACGGTTCGACAAAAAATGAGATTGACTTCATTATGACGACCAGACGACAACTGTTCAGTGATGTCTCCGTGAACGCGAGGGTGAAAACTGGTTGCGATCACCGAATGGTTAGAGGCACACTGAACCTAAATGTTAAGTTGGAGAGGTCTCGTCTAATGAAGTCAACGCTCCGTCCCCCTCGTCCTCTGTTCCAAAGTCCTGAAACCTTTCAGCTCGAGTTACAAAACCCTTTTTAGTGCCTAGAAAACTGCAATGAAGTGGACGATATGAATGACAAGCTCGTGGAAACTGTCCATGCGGTCGGAGCTAAGTTCTGCAAGACCCACCGCAGAAGAACACTAAAAACTCTCCGATCACACTCTTAATCTCATGGCTGTTAGACGGGAGATGAAGCTACATTCTTCAAAAGATTTGACAGTATACAGGCAACTGAACAGACAGATCTCCAAATGCATGCGGCGGGACTTACACAACTTCAATACAGCTTGTATTGAAGATGCGATCGAGCGGAACCAAGGCTCCCAAGTCTTTGCTAGAGATCTGTCTGCCAGAAAGAGCCAACTGTCAAAGATGAGGACCGAGTGTGGCAGCATCGTTTTTCATTCTTTATTTATTCTTTGTTTTTAAAATAACCGATTTTTTGTTTTTAAAATAACCGGTTTCCGGGGCACCTGAGATTTTGAGTGAGATTGAGAGGTTGTATGGGCAGCTGTACACGTCATCGTTGGAGCCTCTGAATGCGGGTGGAAAACCGGTACTTGATGTCCTTCAGAAGCTCTTTAATTCCGTCCTCCATGGTGGCATTACACCGGAGGCGTGGAGCAGAAGTGCGGTGGTCTTGTTCTTCAAGAAAGGTGACAACGCTCTCTTGAAGAACTACAGACCGATTTCCCTTCTGAGCCGCGTCTACGTGCTGTTTTCGAGAGTCATTACGAAACGTCTCGCGCGCAAACTTGACGACTTCCAGCCTCCCGAACAAGCCGGTTTCCGAAAGGGATTTAGCACCTTAGACCACATACATACCCTTCAGCAAGTTGTACAGAAGTCCGAGGAGTACAATTTGCCACTATGCCTAGCGTATGTGGACTATGAGAAAGCCTTTGATTCAGTCGAAATTTGGGCGGTGCTGCAGTCCCTTCAGCGGTGCCAAGTTGACTGTCGGTATATCGAAGTGCTGAAGTGCTTGTACAGTAGGGCTACGATGGCTATCCGAGTACAGAACCAGAGTACGAAACCTATCCAATTGCAGAGAGATGTAAGACAGGGTGACGTTATATCCCCGAAACTCTTCACCGCTGCATTGGAAGACGTTTTCAAGCTTCTGGACTGGAAAGGATACGGTATTAACATCAATGGCGAGTACATCACTCACCTTCGATTTGCCGACGATATAGTCCTTATGGCAGAATCGCTGGAGGATCTAAGCACCATGCTCAATGACGTCAAAAGTGTCTCCCAACGGATAGGTCTTAAGATGAACATGGACAAAACAAAGATTATGTTCAATGTCCATGTCACACCTATGCCGGTAGTTGTTGGGAGCACTAAGCTCGAAGTTGTTGACGAGTATGTTTACCTGGGACAAATAGTCCGACTAGGTAAGTCCAACTTCGACCGAGAGGTCAATCGACGGATTCAACTCGGCTGGGCAGCGTTCGGGAAACTACGACACACCTTCTCGTCAGACATTCCTCAAAACCTTAAAACGAAATTCTACAACCAGTGCGTGTTGCTAGTGATGACTTACGGAACTGAGACGTGGTCCTTCACTACTGGCCGTATGAGGAAGCTCAAGGTCGCTCAGCGAGCTATGGAGAGGGCTATGCTCGGAGTTTCTCTGCGTGATAAACTTAGAAATGAGGATATCCGCAGTAAAACCAGAGTGACCGACATAGCCCAATGGATTAGTAAGCTGAAGTGGCAGTGGGCCGGCCATATAGCTCGAAGAACCGACAACCGATGGGGAAGAAAGGTTCTTGAATGGCAGCCTCGTACCGGTAGGCGAAGTGTAGGGCGACCCCCCACGAGATGGAGTGACGACCTGGTAAGACATGCAGGAAGTCGATGGATGCAGGTGGCTCAGGACCGTGTTTTATGGTATTCCTTGGGGGAGGCTTATGTTCAGCAGTGGACTTATGAAAGGCTCACGCGTAAACATTTGTGAAACATAACAGTAGAGTACATGGAGTAGATTTGTATTGTAGTCATTTTTAGTAATTTGTTACCAGAACTTTAAATAATGGTAATTGCTACTTTTGTCTCTGTTTGTATAATTTCATTAGATACTTAGCTTTATTGTTTTTATTTTAGCTTTCCTAGCAATCCGTTTATGTGTGCAGAATGGATCTCGATTATTGCCAGAGAAAGAAGAGATGACTTTTATAAACCAGCTAAAAATTCAGTTATATGTTCGGATAACTTTGATAAATCAGATATATCTGAAATACTAATCGACGTCGATTGGATAAAACAGCAGCCGACATTACATATATTTGAAAAACAAAAAGCGTACTTAGAGTTTATTACTTTTTGTGTTCGACATATAAACACTGATAAATGAAATAATCAAATTATACACCAAACCTTCAATTAATAAGTATTTTATTTATTTATTTATTATTCTTTATTGCACACCAACACAAAGAAGTACACAATGGGCGGTCTTATTGCTTACAGCAATTTCTTCGAGACAACCAATGAATGAACAGGATTACACGAAGATAACAGGGGTAGGGTAAATTAGTGTGATAAAAAAGAATACACACGCATATATATATATATATATATATATATATATATATATATATATATATAATACATACAAAACCTAAAATAAATTCATAATGAATTATCTTATAAAATGCAATCATTATACTACATACTATATTATATTTAATGGCTAGTGTGGAAAGTATGTATACTAACAAACATAAATGCCCAAAATATAAATAACTTTAACTAAATTTATGATCATGTTATTTACGCCCGAACGCTGATTTCGGGATTGACGTTTGAGGGCGCGCGGCTCGGCGATACCGGTTTGAATTTCGGCCGAGCGTGGGAAGTAGCGCGCGGGTCGCCAGCGCAGCAGTCGTCCTTAGGCAGTGCTCACGATTGGCACTCTGTAATTTTGTCGGGAACTCGGAATAATTCGGCGCGGCCAGTAAATATACGGTCTACCATTGTGACGCGCATTCCTGCTGGAGAGCTTCCCAGGGACTCATTGTGTTTGACTCAGAATCTGCATAAGTGCATTAGGCAATATTAGCTAGTGCGGCCTCTGATATTCTAGAACTAACTGTTGCGACGCGAAACGGTAGTGACCTTTAATAAACTGTAA